ATTTCGCCCACTCCTCTGGGTTCATGATTCTTTCTGCAGCCTGTCTATTGTTAGTCCTTATCTCCTTCTTACTGCTGTCTTTCAGCCACACCCCTGATCTTAGGGTAGGTGAAATGTGATCGAACACCTTGCCTTCTCGGATAAGGGCGAAAAATATCGGAGGTCCTGTTTGCAAGGTTTGCGCGTTAAAGATGGTGGTTCAAAATCGATAAACTAGATCCTCTCCCCTCTGCAACATCAGATGACGAACTTTGTAGTTTATTTGTGACTTTTTTTCAATGACAAAATTAATACCATACTCTCTTCACTCGACCTAGAGCCAAATGGAAATTTAGAATTTTCAGAATTTACTGGACAGATACATGTATTAGATAATTTTAGTCCTGTTACAAATAGTGATATTTTAAATTGCATTAATGGGTCAACCATAAAAACATGTGACCTTGACCCAATGCCTGCTCATGTACTCATAACCTGTATTGATATTGTCTTACCTCACATTACTCAGATAGTGAATATTTCATTTGCCACAGGCACAATAGATCTATCTAATACTTTCAAACAAGCTATTGTAAAACCTTCATTGAAAAAAACCCTGGGCTTCTTAAAAATGAATAAAAAACTATCGAACAGTTTCGAATTTGCAATTTGTCTAAAAAATTCTAGAGAAGATTGTTTTAAGTCAAGTTTTGGCTCACATGAGAAAAAATGGTCTTGAGGAAATTTACTAATCTGCCTATAAAACCCATCATAGTACCGAAACTGTGCTTTAAAAAGTAACATATGATTTATTGGATTCCGTTGATAGCAAAAACATCCGTCTTTTAACTCCTTAATTGGATCTGTCCGCAGCTTTTGACACAATTGACCATGCCATTCTACTCACAAGACTTGAGCGCTCATTTTGATTATCGGGTACTGTGCTTTCATGGTTTAAGTCATATTTACTAGAAAAAGAGTTCAGTCAGTACTAGGCGAATTAAAAATAGCTTTTCAAAGCAGGTCAGGCTCGATTATGGAGTCCCACATGGGTCCGTTCTTGGACCAGTGCTCTTTACGCTACATACACAGCCCTTGAGCAAGCATTTTACAAAATCATGGATTGAATTATCATTTTTATGCCGATGATTCCCAAATGTATGTTAATGGCACCATTCAAGATCTGCCAAACACGATTTCTTTCACTAAACATGTTTTTATGAAATTAAAAAGTGGATGACAGTAAGCAAATCGAAACTAAACGAAGAAAAGACAGACATCATTCTTATAAAGATCCACGATTAAATACAGATCTGGAAAGTGTCAACTTTGATTTATATGGGCATATGACATCTAGTAAAGAAGCTGTAAAGAATCTCGGTGTATATATTGACCACCACTTATCAATGGGCTTGTTTGTAGGATCTTGATCAGTCCAATTCCCTTTATTTTCAGCTGAGAAGGATAGGCCTAGTTCGAAAGTACTTAAACGAAGAGACCACAAAAACACTGGTAACATCTCTTATCCTATCTAGATTAGACTATCATATAACTCACTCCTAGCAGGTCTGAACAACAAATATTTGAATCGTTTACAAGTAATTCAAAACAATGACGCAAGACTGATAACAAGATCTAAAAAGCGAGACCATGTCACTTCATTATTAAAAGAACTGCATAGGCTCCCTGTAAAAGAAAGAATAATATTTAAAATCTGCGTCATGTGTTTCAAATGTGTAAATAAAGCGGCTCCTTTTATCTACAAGAACTTTTCAGTATACAAGCCAGGGAGAAACCTAAGTTCATCAAACGATAACACCCTACTTGTGACACCTGTAAAATCATACAAATACAAATCATATGGAGAGAGATCTTTCTCATATCTTGGTCCATTTATATGTGGAACAGATTACCCATGAAGCTAAGACAAATAAAAATACTTGATAGCTCCAAAAGACATCTTAAACATTTTTTTCCCTACAGGCCTATATCCTTCAAAAGCTTTTAACGTTATTTAAAAAAAATTATAGTTGTTCTGTTCCTATGTCTGGATGAAAATAGTCTCTCTCTCTCTCTCTCTCTCTCTCTCTCTCTCTCTCT